GGCGTGTCCTGCGCGCCGTAGTGCCATCAATGACAAGGCGACGACGAGCCTAGCCACGTGCGCGCGGTAGAGGCGGCATCGCACTAGGTCGACAGCGGCATAGAGATGCAGAGGGAGGCACGGACATGACGGCAAGGCGACGGCATTGGCAGTGGCTGCGTCGTGGCACGGGGAGGGTCGGCTGTGCGGCAGCGTGGCGGGGCCGGCGACAGCACCGCCTGGCTGCGTAAGCAGCGGCGGCGGCTCCGAGTGCCAGGAGCCAGCGGTGGCCAGGCCACAGCCTGGCCAGAGCAGCCGTGGCCGGCCATACGCGGCAGCTCGCGTGCACGCGGGACAGCCAGCGTGGCGACGCCGAGGTCCCGAGCATGGTGACCGCGCCCATGTGGCCAACCAGCCCGAGACCGTGTCGTGCACGAATTTTAAATTGCCTATAAAAACTAAACAGTTGCTTCTGGACCTTAACCATCTTCACCATGCTCAAGATGGCATATGAGGCTACCAAACCGAGCTAACACATGACACCTTTTCTTAACCTGATTTTGCAAAATAAATTAACAAACATGGCATTGTCTAACTATCAACATACTTGAAAATATTCTAAGTCTTTTGAGCTGAACTTGATTCCAATTTGCATTTCTTGGCTATTAGAAATGTTTGCTAGCAATGTTATTTTTCTACCGCAAGTATTTTATTGTCATCTATAAAGTTCATATTCCAATCTTTATTTAAGCGCCACATATATGTTCTATACCATTTTTGTTCAATAAAAATTAGTTTTAAACCCTACTTGATATACATGAGCTATTGAATTAACTTTCGTTTAACATTTTTATTAGTCATTTTAGGTTACAAGAAATTGATCTACACACTTTATCACATACACTAACACATAAACATGATGCTTATGACATATTTTAGTAAATAATTTAGGGTGTAACACCGAGGGTGTTACAAAAGTGTCGCCCCTCTTAGTGTAATAGGCCGACGTGTAGCACTTCTCGGTAGCCAAGGATCCTCCCAAATCTGAATCTGTACCCCATCTCCTACTCTCCACATAATACCTCTCCTCAACGCTTTGATTCCTCGGACTATGCTTCTCCGTGAATAGGATATACTTGGACCTTCACCAGCCTCCATAAGTCTCCCATTCGGGCAATGCTTAGCCATCAATAACTGGGCACATAGAGAATCAGGAGCCATCACCAGCTCTTGATTATTCTATTAACTTATAAGGCATCAAGTTGTACTATTTGTTTGGTCATCACATTTTCCAATAATTTGATCTAATTTTCTATAAATGTTTTATTTGATTATTCTATTAACTTATAACAAGGCGCGCCACATTCTTCTCGTTTAAAGAAAACTCATGCGGGACTAGCTCGATGCGTCAACCAAACACGGTTGGAAACTTGGAACTACTAGATCATCAGTCTGCTCCATCGGTCCCTAGTCTCGGACGGTTCCTTGTCGCGTGTTCGCCGGCTGTCGATGAAATATAGTCGGCAGTCCACCGAGGGGGTGTCCGTGGTGGTAGATTATCGGTAGGATGCGTGTAATCAGGAATGAGATGGTTACAGAGACACAAGACACAAGATTTATACAGGTTCAGGCCGCCAGTGTGGCGTAAAACCCTACGTCCTGTGCTCTGTTATTTGTATTGATCTAGGGTGAGATCTGTATGATCTGTATGATCTTGTCCGTTAGGAGACCCTTGCCCCTCCTTATATATTCCGAAGGGATAAGATTACAAGTAAAGTATCCAATTTGGTACAATTACAATATAATGTCGTGCTCCGCACGTCTTCACCTTGCGGGCTGGGCCACTTCCGGAGGTGTGGCCCATGTATACCCATGAGGGTATAGGGGGTCTATTCCCCCACAACTAGTCCCTGAGCGCCTTGTCTCCTTCGAGTAGCGTCGTCTTGAGCTTGCCAGAAGGATGTAAGGGGCTCAAGATAAAATTTAAAAAATATTTCCCTCGAAGTGTGCCCACTTTGACTCTGAGTCAAAAAGAGACACTGTTGTCCTTGTAGAATCGGAGGTGTTTGAACCATCAGAGCGAGCACATTCACCGTAAGGTGAAGTGTGCCCACTTAGTCCCCGAGCCAAGTAGTAGGCGACATAGACACGTGGTGCCAGGGTCTAAAAAGAATTCCCAGTTAAGTTGAGAATCCAATCATCGTACAGGCGATACAAGATGCACGGCAGTGCATCGCATCGATGTAGTCCCCGAGCTTCTTTGGAAGGCGAGGTATCGCCTTTGTAGCAAGGTCTAAACAAGAAAGAATATCCCAAGCTGTATGCAAGTCGTGATGCGCATGTAGTTGAGACATAAAGTCCCCAGTGTGGTGGGAGAGTGGTCGAGGCGGTCCACGAACACGTGTCGAGCGGCGAGCGGCGAGTCCACGAGCTGTGGTGGGAGAGTTGTCGAGGGTCCCCAAGCACAAAGTTGAGGGACGAGCGCGAAGTCCCAGCTGTGGTCGGGAGAGTGGTCGAGAAGTCCTCGATCACAGTCGAGGGGCGAAGCGGCGAAGTCCCGAGCGTAGCTCGAGATCCCCGCAATATAAATATATATAGAACGGTAGTATATGATGTACAAAATAATAATTTATGGAGAAAAATCAACGAAGAAAGAAATAGCGTATGACCTTTCAAAGCGGAGACATTTGCAAATGAGCATGATGTGATAAAGCGGTTGGTGCTTTGTAAACATCGATGTTAAAATGAAGTTTGTGTTTATACTTTATATAAACCGCCCGACCAGATTAGTATGTAGTGAGCCTTTCCCCCTAGTAGCTTCACTATAGCGTGGAGCGCGAGAGCTGCGTGCGTGTAGGAAGGCGTCGCTAAGGAGCCGCTACCAACGACCCGTAACACGAGAGGGTGGACGCTCATACACGCGTGGAGAGAGCGGTGAGCGAGGCCATTTTCGAGACATCGGCGTCAACATGACCTGGTCGAGGATTTGCATTAAGTATAGTTGTATGTTATCTTTAAGATGGTATACATGGACAAGCGTTATTTGAAGGATAATCATGACAAGGACGTTGTGGAGAAACGTCGTAATGAAAATTGTGTCAAATATAAATATTAGAAGTGTACTTATCTTTGGATAGAAATCTGGTCGATGGCGATAAAGTTGTCCGGACCTCGTGCTTTTCGGCCTGTTGTGACGGTGGTCGCGGTTGTCATAGCGCCGTTCTTCGTGGCGATCATCATTGCGACGTGGTCTGGTGGTCGAGGTGGTCGGAGCTCGACGGAGCCGCTCGAGACGTGGTCGACGTGGTCCATGGTCGGAACTCGGCGGAGCAGCTCGGGATGTGGTCGACATGGTCTGTGGTCGACGTGGTCGGAGCTCGGCAGAGCCGCTCATGACGTGGTCGATGTGGTCCGTGGTCGACGTGGTCGGAGCTCGGTGGAGCCACTCGGGACGTGGTTGACGTGGTTCGATGCGGCTTGCTCAGCGGCTCGCTTGATGGCTCAACGTGGCTTGCTAGCAGCTTGTCATGACTTGCGTGATGACTTGAGCGGCTTGCTTCGACTCGGCTCTACCTTTCTTGATAGCATGATCAGTTTGAATGACTTGATGGGCTCGGACGAAGTCAAACTCATGTTGGAGACGTGGAAGAGTAGCAACAAATCTGTACGTAATGTACGGCTCACGTACATGCATACGTATGAATTTTTGTCCTTGCATGGTCTTCAATATTTAGCTTGCATGACTTTCTGGTAATCGGCTTGCATGGCACTTTGTAGATGTACGTATATATCTCTTTCTTTATTTGCTTGTCTTAGGACTCGGACGTGCCCTTGCTTGCCTATTTGGAGTCGTGGTCGTGCGCACGCCTACCGACAACAACTTCGATGGCTTCAACAAGTATATGTCTTCTTCATTCATGCATGGCGGCCCGTGGAGGAAGCGGAGACCCTTGAGATGAAGCGGGACCAACTAGGCCATGATTGATCGATCGACCCTTTGCCGGACGCCGTCTTTGAATGTTAGGTCTGTTGTTTGACTTCGTGCACATTGGTAGTCGCCCATGAAACGCGTCGTCGTAGTCCGCCACGGACCCGCATTTAACGTTTGAGCCGCCACAGACGATGTTAATCTTGATCGCAAAGTTGATCTTGAGGGTCGCCGCCGCGCAGATCCCGAGTTGTCGCGGATGACGACGTCGGTGAAGAAAATTCCCATCCGGCTCGCCAAAGGACCAAAGACGACAACCCCTAAAGGGGCACAACCCCTAGAGGGGACCCTACTGGCGCGCCACTATCGTTTAAATATAGTTGGCGATCCATCGAGGGGGTGCCCGTGGTGGTAGATTATCGGTAGGATGCGTAATCGGAGAACAGATGGTTCTGAGAGACACAAGACACAAGATTTATACTGAGTTCAGCCGCTAGTGTGGCGTAAAACCCTATGTCCTATGCTCTGTTATTTGTATTGATCTGGGGTGAGATCTGTATGATCTTGTCCGTTAGGGGACCCTTGCCCCTCCTTATATATTCTGAAGGGATAAGGTTACAAGTAAAGTATCCAATTTGGTACAATTACAATATAATGTCATGCTCCACACGTCTTCACCTTGCGGGCTGGGCCACTTCTGGTGGTGCGGCCCATGTATACCCATGAGGGTATAGGGGGTATATTCCCCTACAGTTAGTCCCCGAGTGTCTTGTATCCTTCAAGTAGCGTCGTCTTGAGCTTGCCAGAAGGATGTGAGGGAAAAATATTTCCCCCGATGAGGGCAGGTGGGCCGGTCCCCTTCCTGGTCCCTTCCCGTCCCCCTCCTTCTCTTCTGTAGAGTTTCCCTAGCGGAATAAGTGCCCGAATGAGTGTTTTGAGGACTCTCCTCCTCACTGTCGCCATCTTGGAGGTGGGCGAGCTCGCCGCGGTCATGGTGACTGACGGAAGCTTCCTCCAGATCGATGAGGTGAGTACTACAATAAAGCCCTTCTCTTCTTCTCATGTGCTTCGCCCTCCCCCGCTCCCTGGATTTCTAGGTGGCATGGTGCCGCTTCGATCCAGATCGAGCAAGGGTAGAGGCACGCCTGGCGACAACTTCAACAGCAGTGCCGACAAGGTCACCTACAACACCAACACAAGGAGAGGCGGTTGGCAGGGATTCGAGTGCCTCGGGTCCTCACGTCCCTGGGCGAGCGGATCCTGCAGGTCGGAGGCGTGGAACGCGCGCATCGACGCGCCTTCTCGGCCTTCTTCGTCTCCAGCGCCTGCGTCCATGCAGGCCGGGGTCGGCTGCATCTCCCGAGCGGTGGAGGTTGCGCCGGCCTTCGCGTCCGTAGTGGGGACCATTGCGGCGGTGTCGTTCGCTGCTGCAGGTTCCTGCGTCCGTCCCGTCTTCAACTTCCTCGGTGCTTCCGATCCGTTCGGTGCGGGTGCGGCCTACCTACTGCGCTATGGGGTCCATCTTCTGAGGGCTAGGCCCCACCAGTGCAACGTGTATCACATGGAGGAGGCTACGCTTTCATGGGCGGTTCCATGCCCATCTGGAGAGGCATAGTTGATGTCACGTGGTGGCCATCTCTTGCTCTGTGGGTCTGCCGGGCACAGCAAGTCTATATTCTCTGTCAATCTGTTTTTTTATTTGTACACATGGAAGTGGTAACACAACCATTGGTGTGGGTTAACCGCCAATGTCAGTTGAAGCTGGTCCTCGGATTTTTTTTCTTTTACATTGGTGGCTATGGATCCATATTCTTGAGTCCGGTGAAGCCTCCATCCTATCTACGACTCAAGACTATTTGTCCTCGAAGACATAGGCCGATTAGACAGTCGAGGGGAGCACCGGCTGTTCTATCGGAGTACGAAAACGAGAACCCTCGATGTTTCTATCGTGGCCACTTCTCGTGGGCCATGTGGCCTCGACGGGCCCGCGCCCCGACGGAAGTATTACTTATGTCTATAGAAGCAATTCAGAGTAGCTTTAAGGCCCTGTTTGTTTCAGCTTTTCTGAGTCTCGCTTATAAGCTTAGCAGCCTTATCTGATAAGTCACGATCTGGAGAATCTGCTGTCTGAATAAGCTGGGCGTTTAGCTGTCCTGATTATTTCTGGTAGATTATCTGTCTTGGATGTAAATTAACCTATGTACCCCTGAGGCTGATGATACCTCTTTTGGTTCGTCACAATAATCAAGGCAATGGTCAGAATATTTTTAAAGTTTGAGATAACAATATGGTTCCATTAAGTTGCAATGTACAATAATAGTCGAAAATAACATCCATTTGGGTAATGTAATTGCTATAAAATACTCAAGTTTCTAACAATAGCAATAACATCACGGAAAGCACACATATTCATATCATCCGCTAACTGAACAAATTGATTCATCATTTCAGCCAACCAACTGTGTTAGGAGCCTAGGACAGCACAAATCCCAGTCCAAAGACACTGCAACTGAACAAATAACCCTAAGTTATACTACCAAAACACAAAGAGCTCTAGTAACATTCAACAGATAAGCCATAATACAAATAGTAAGGCAGGATAGGCATGCCATTAACAAAATGAAGAAAAGATGTACATACTGCTAACAATAAAAAAATAGAATGCAGCAGAATACTAAATAGATGCATGGCATGGCCCCGTTCGGCTTGCTGAAATTGGCTGAAAAATACTGTTCTAGCTGAAATGTTGTGAGAGAAAAATATTGTTCCGGCTAAAAAAAGAAGCCAAACAAGCCGGATTTAAGGTAAGCCAAACGGGGCTGTAACAGCTGCCATAGAATGTAGCAGAAAATTAAACAATAGCATGGCAGGTCAGACATAATGTATGCCTCAAGAGTTAAGTTCATAAGGAAACTTCACACATCTAATTGATTCATCATTCCTTGCCAATGAACTATTCTATGAAAACACAAAAGCAGCAGTGCACCGATATCAACAATGGGCACTTATACAAGTGTCGCATAATGCAGAACACTAATTAGTGGACTGGCAGGTCAGACTGAATGTATGCCTCAAAAGTTAAGCTCATAAGGTAACTTCGCACGTCTAATTGGTTCATCACTCCTGCCAACCCACTGCACTGAATGCAATTGAAACAACGATATTGGATTGTCACAAGTGGACACAAAGGACTGGAACGGAAAATGTCCCACCCGTGAAAATCAACTGCTGGAGCACCTAATCACCTTGCTGTACGGCAGCCGACGCCCTTGTTGTAGATCCGAAGAAGGGGATGGGAGGGCCTGCAAGACACCTGCTTGGGCACCGTGGAGGGGAGGGGAGGGAGCCGGCGCACTCATTTGGAGCACCGACGGAGGGGAGGGAGGGACCGGCAAGACTGCCTGGAGCACCGCGGAGGGAGGGAGGGAGCCACAGACCGCCTGGAGATCCGAGGAGGAGGGGGAGGGGAGGGCCGCGGCACCTAGCCGGAGATCCGAAGGAGGGAGGGATTGATCGCCAAGATCTGGCTGGAGCACCCGCGGTGGGGGAGGAGGCCGGCGTTGGGGAATGGGAGGCGGTGGCGGATCTGGCAGAGAGGAGGAGTGCCGGGCCGGAGGAATGGGAGGCAATGGGAGGGAGCGAACGGGGAGGGAGAGAGCACGGGACCGCTTGGGTCTTGAGGGAGGGGCAGGAGAGGAAAAGCCAGCGATTTCGGAAAAGCGGGCCTTGCTCGCGATTTCGGATACGCTATGGGCGCGACGAGGAGAGATCGCATGCTGCGTTCGCTTTTTATTACGATCGCATGGCGTTTGTGCGAGATTATTTGCTTATTGGGCTCAGAAGCTGAGCAAACTGTCCCATACAGGTCCTAACTTACCTGTGCTCTGAGAAATTTTTTTCTCATACCGGTATAATGTGCTTTAACGTTATATATTAAAAGTTGTTGTAAAAAAAACCCAATTGGATTCCGTGTTTAAAAAAAATCCATTCCGCCTATAACGACTTCACGCGCACTGGGAGGCGGAGTGTCGGAGTGAGTTTCCATTCCGCGTTACCAAATCCATTCCGCGTAACGATTTCACGCGTAGTGGTAGGCGGAGTGGACAGAGTGACAGATATTTCACTTCTCGCACCTGCAGACTTCAGTTGTTAAAAAGTCGAGCCGTTCTTAAAAAAAAAAGAAGAAGAACAAGAACAAGAAGTCGAGCCGTTGACCTGCGATCTGCGGAGTCGTTAGCATCCATGGCTGGTGTCGGGGAAGCGCTCGTGTCCGTAGTGCTCAAGGAGGTGTTGCGCAACCTGGGATCTGCTGTCGGGGAGCAGATCAAGGCGCGATGGAAGCTAGAGCAAGACATGGAGTACATCAAGTGCACGCTGGTGGTAGTGCAAGCGGTACTCAAGGATGCCGAGAGGCGGTCCGTGAGGAGGAACCGGTCAGGCTGTGGCTCAAAATGCTCAAGAATGCCGCCTACGACATATCCGATATGCTCGATGAATTTGAAATCAAATTGTCACAGGTAGATCTTCTCTTGCGTGTGCTCTAAAAAACATAGACTTCTTCGTAATAGCACCAATTACAGTCCTGTGTCCTGAACTACTGCAGCAATCATCTTCATATGTTTTTGTTACCTCTTTCATTTAGGCATATACTACTGTGCAAGATGCTTAGACATGGCCACATGGGTGCTTGAAGAGAGACGATGTTAGTCACATCATTGAGCACTTGTACAAAAGTTAATCTCTCTGATGGAACCAATTGTTAGATAGGTTCAACCACTTTGTTATATAACATTGTGTAGGTTATTTGGTAATGCTAAGACTGTCTGCTGACAAGCTGTGCATCAGTTATTTAGGAACTTCGTTCGTTTTTTTCCCTTTTAAAACCTGTTTCAATTTAATTCCATATTGAACAGGGGACAATCTCTAGCTTTGTTGCAAAGTTTTCTATGGGTAAAAATCTGAAGAATATGAGAGAAAAGCTAGCAGACATAGCAGCACAGAGGACACAGTTCGGATTCATGCTAGACGCCTGTTCAATAGACGAGGAAGAGATCAAGAAGAGACAAACAACATCAAAGATCAATAGAGCAACTATTGTTGGAAGGCACAAAGAGAAGGAGGAAATTGTAACATTGTTAAACTTAGATGATGAAAAAGAAACACTGGTAATCCCTATCTTCGGGTTTGGGGGTATTGGTAAAACCATATTAGCTAAATTGGTTTTCAATGATGACCGGATGCAAAGTTTCGATTTGAGAGCATGGGTTTTTGTGTCTCCACATTTTGATCTAAGAATGATTGGGAAGAGTATAATTTCACAGATCAAAGGGCAGGTTGACTGTTTAGATGATCTACAGGCAGTAAGTAATTGTCTTGAAGAGACACTGGATGGCAAAAGTTGCTTGATTGTTTTGGATGACCTATGGGAAAGCAATTGCTTTCGGTTGGGTGAATTAATGTTGATGTTAAGCAGCTTTAAGAAGGAAAGTATGGTTAGGGTGATTGTAACAACACGGAATGAAGAAGTTGCAAGGAACATAGGTACAGTCGCTCCATACAAGCTGAAGCCACTGTCTGATGATTATTGTTGGGCATTGTTCAGACAGATTGCTTTTCAATCTGGTTGCACTTTAGGAGAAGGCGATACGGATGCGCTGGAAAGCATAGGGCAGACAATTGCAAAGAAGTGTAAAGGAGTGCCATTAGCAGCTCAAGCTCTTGGGTTCATGCTGCGCACTAAAGATGTCCGGGAGTGGGAAAATATAAGAGATAGTGAGATTTGGGAGGGACCATCCACAGATGATGTACTTCCATCGCTGAAACTTAGTTATTACCATATGCCTCCTTACTTGAAACTATGCTTTTCCTATTGCTCAGTGTTTCCTAAAGGTTGTGAAATACATAGGGATAATCTAATTCAACAGTGGATATCCTTGGGTTCATTCATTCCAATTCTAGGAAGGATTTAACACTCGAGAAGATTGGAGAAAACTATGTAAATGAACTTTTGGGAATGTCCTTTCTCCAATACTCTAGGATAACATCCTTGGTGAGTCAAAAATATACCTAAGTAATCTAATCCTTATCTTGTATTAAATATTTTTAGTGACCTTTTAGGATACGTCTAATTAATATACTCTGAATATTTCAGATTACGAAGGACACAAAGAATTGTATGCTGCTTAGCATGCACGACCTAATTCATGATCTTGCAAGATCTGTTATGGATGATGAGCTACTACTCATGGATGGAAAAAGGACTGCGATTCTGAATATGGCAATTACGGTATGCATTAGTAGTCAATTGCCCAAGGCAAACAGCTTCATGCAGTGATGTTCCTGCTAAGTTAAGAGCTTTGCATGTTTTTGATTGTGGTGAAATTCCGATGTCATTGTATAGTAAATCCTTGCGTGTACTGGATTTAAGCAAGTGCTCCAATGGGAACCTACCAGCTTATATTGGCAAATTGAAGCAATTGAGGTATCTTTCTGCTGTTGGCATGCAACATGAACAGATTCCTGAGCATGTCACTGGCCTTTCAAACCTGATCTATTTGAACCTAAGTGGGTCTCCAAAAATTTCAAAGCTGCCAGACTCAGTAAACAAACTCAGAAGCTTGCTACATCTAGACCTGTCTGGATGCTGTGAACTTTGTTCATTACCAGAATCATTCAGTGACCTGAAGAATCTCTCACATTTGGAGCTGGCACATTGTTCTGCTCTTTATTCTTTGCCGAAGTCCTTCGGAAGGCTAAGTGAACTTCAGTATTTGAACCTGTCTGGATGCTGTGAGCTTTGTTCATTACCAGAATCATTCAGTGACCTGCAGAACCTCTCACATTTGGACCTGGCACATTGTTCTGCTCTTTATTCTTTGCCGAAGTCCTTCGGGAGGCTAACTGAACTTCACTATTTGAACCTGTCATGTTGCTTTAAACTAAATCTACTGGTTGGCATGGAGAATATATGTTGTGTTACTAGCCTACAGTATCTAAACCTGTCCCGTTGTCCAAGTCTCATCTATCTACCTGAATCTTTAAGCAATCTAAAGAATCTCCAGACTTTAGATCTCTCAGGATGTCAGTGGATAGAGAATTTTCCACAAAGTTTATGTGAAATTACCAGCCTCAAATTTCTGCTAATACAAGGATGTTCGCCCTGGTTGCAAAAGCGTGTCAGGGAGTCTCAGTTCAAAAATGATATTCTGACATTGCCCAAGTTTATTGTTCAAAGAGAAACGTTTGGGATGTGTAGCAATATTTCACGGCTACAATCTGTATATCCAGCTGAACTAGAAATTGAGTGCCTTGAAAATGTGACATGTATTGAAGAAATTGATGCAGTAAATTTGGCAGCTAAATCAACACTATACAATTTGACAATGGCATGGACACCTGCAGTTGAACGCTTTGTGGAGGATGAAGCATTGCTGCAAAATTTACAGCCTCCTGAAAGTCTAGTTACTTTGAAAATACAAAGCTACATGGCAACTTCCTTTTCTGGATGGATGATAGACTTGGCGTCTTGTCTACCAGATCTTGTTCGCATTGAGATGGTAGATTTACCCAGATGCGAACATTTACCACCGTTTGGCCAATTACAAAATTTGGAGCAGCTGATTCTGAAGAGAATGCCTATCCTCAGGAAACTGGGAGTGGATATTTGTGGTGGCAATGGAGCATTTAAGAAACTAAGAGAGCTTACCTTGGCTAATCTTGGTAACCTCGAGGAGTGGGTCACCAAAGTTTCAGCAAAGGGTGAGTTTATGTTCCCTAGCCTTTACAAGTTGGAAATCTGTCATTGCCCTAAGTTAAGGTTGAAGCCATGCCTTCCTAGGGCAAATGAATGGAGAATAGAAGCAAGTGATGGAGTTGTAGCAAGTCAATATGATGCAGCCTCATCATCCTCTTTGATGCTATCAAAACTGCATGTTAGAAGTTGCCGACTTCTGCCCAGCAAATGGGCACTGCTTCAATTTATCCCCACTCTTGAGGTATTGGAAATCTCAAATTACCACTGGCCGACATTGCCAGAAGGCATTCGTTTTCTGGTATCACTCCGATCACTGCAGATAGATGGCTGTCATAGTGTGGAGCTATCAGAAGAACTGAGAATCCTGTCATCACTGCAGGAACTCATTATTTCTGGCTGCACTAGACTAAGGACTCTGCCTGAATACGTACTGACATTTACTGCTCTGAAGAAATTGGAAATCAATGATAATGACGCATTGCAAAGATGGTTCAGGGGCCATTATAACTGGATCAGGCATAGCGACATAAAAGATAAGGTAACTTTAGGCACTCACTAGCCAGTATTAAGTTAGTTCTGTCGAAGCTCTATTTTCTTTTACTGGTGGAGGAATAGCATAAAGCATTCATGGTTGCTACTCCATGTGACCGGTACTTTTTCATTTAGCATTGCTTGTGTCCCAAACTGAGGAAGCCATCTTCTAACAGTGGGTATTGTGCTAATATTAGTATAAATACGGCACAACTTTAAAATCAGATGTTCATTTGATTGAATTGAGACTAGAGTTCTAACACGATTGGTGTCTCCAGATTTATTTTGATGGCAAGTTGATGAAACATTCACCTGAGGATGACCGCAAAGCCAGCATCTGGGAGGGAAGCAATAGCCCTGCAGATACAAAAGAATGGGGTCAAGATGAAGATCTTGAATATTTTACCATGTATGGATATGGTGAATCATCACGGGCGGGGCGCTGAACTTGATGGAATACTCTTGAGACAGTTTTGCATGAATGTCGCATACCTGCTACACTCGAGGTAAGAGATTTATCTGTCCGACAGATCTTTTGGTACTAAATCTATTAGATTTCATAGAACATCACATGTATATCGTGTGAACATCACAAAATACATCATAGAACATCTACGGGAGCGCGATGGCGGTGCTCGGCTCTCGGGAGCCCAGGCCCCTTGTTCCGGCCCCCGGTCTTCTTCTTCCAGTCTCGGCCTTATCTCCCATCCGCCGCTCTCTCCCTCTCCTATCTTCTTTCCCCCTTCTCTCTATTTCTATCCCATCTCTCTCAGCTGCTGGGAGCGAGGGGTGCAGCTCTGGTGGAGGTGGTGAGTTAGAGCCGAGGAGGAACAACCTCCTTGGATCCATGGCGTGGAGGTGCCATTGGCTTGCCTGTCTTCAGATGCATTTAGGCGCCGTGGATGTGTCGTGTAGTTGAAGGGGTTGCGTTTCGTCTTGGTGAGTCGTCCTCAACTCCGAGAGATCTAGCAGCGAGGAGCACAACGACAGGCTCTGGATCTCAACGTTTGCAGGTGAGCTGCAGGTTTTGCACCTGCGAGGAAATCGTTTCTTATGGATTTCGACTTCTCTCATCCAACTTTATAGATTGGATTGTTATAATTCCAGTTCCGCCTCTGCTACCGCATCCAGGATTTCACAACGATGAACAAGATTAGTGCAGTGTTCTAACACCTCCTTGAGTTTGTGCCTTCATAATTTATTTATTTTTTGGCGAAGTTCATAATTTGGGGGCCATAATATTCAAATGAGATGTATGCCACAAAGTTCAGTAGAGGCTCAATAACTCTAATGAGTTGATCTGTGCAACTATTTCATACAAAGGAGTGAGGTCAATCGTGATTGTCGGATGGACTAAAGAGATTGGTTATAAGTGAATATTATCTTATGATCGTCATGTTGATTACGTATAAGCCATAGAGTACTGAAGGAAATGGAGCAGTTCTTTCACCATTTGCTATTTTGTAGTGGCATAGTTTCAGTATTCACAATTAATAATAACCCTAGACATAACTAGAAATCTCTTCTCATGGTGAGATGTATGCTAATACACATCATACTTGTGGAAAGCATGTTGTGTGTTAGCATGCCGTAACTCAAGGGTTATTATACTGAAATAATAGAGGCTAATGGTTGGAGCAGATGAGATGTATGCTAACACACAACATACTTTCCACAATGATATTTTGCATGTTTCATATCTCAGGCTTCTTGACATAACTAGAAATCTCTTCTCATGGTGTAAAGTATGCTGTGTGTTAGCATGCCCCAACTCGCCACTGGATTTGCCTTGTGGAAGCTCTCAAGAATTGGATTTTTTGTGTCAGTAATTTTAGCATAACAAAATTTTGAAAACCATATGTTGTGCTTTTTTCTGCTCAGGGAAGAGATGGTCCTACAAATATCTGCTCGTCAGAACTATTAGTTTGTAGCTCTATGTCCTACCATGCATTAAATTATGTACTCTTGACAATGGTTACTTGTATACCATACCATAAAGGCTTAAATGAGTATAATCTAATAGATGGAATTTTTTTAAATGGTCCCATTGCAAGTAACTTTTGGTTTCTTGGAAATTGATGTCTATCGAATGAAACAACACCCACGGTCACCATTTTAATCTAATTTTGGAAAAAAAATTCTAATATGAGAGCGGCCTTTATTATGAGCCTTGAGATTCAACCATCATATTCTTCTACATGTGTAGACTGCAGCTATTATTTGTGTAATACCTTTGCTACTGCCATTCTGTTTTTTTTCTCCCTTTGGACATGTGGGTTACTCTTGGAAGAAATACACAGGATGTTAGAGTTGAAAATTGATTTGGGAAAAGGAGGGCAAATAGAATGTCTTACGGACCAGTAATTTATTTATTGAATATTACATCGTGCATTAAGAAATATCATTTAACATTTCCTTGGTAAATGGCTACTGCCTCAATGGTTCTTTGCAGATTACTGTAAGCCACATTTCTGTTTTTTTCTTTTCTTTTTTTGGCTTGCATCTATTTTCTATGTCATACCATGCTCTAATGTACTGTGTGTGCCAAATTGCAGGTAACTGATAGGGCTTTGACTACTTTGCTCTGATGATGATACTCGTGATTTGATTTTTCATGATCACAATGGCCATTGCTACAGGAGGCTACAGGATTATCTATGTAGATGTACCATTAATCCATTATATGCATAATGATAATAGGTTTTATCTTTGGTCTTCTGTTTTTGTAAAACTGTTGTCAACGAGTGAATTCTTTAGTTCTTTTGGCCTTGTCTCACTCCCTGAATGTAGCTTTGTGATCTCATATGTTTTACTTACTTATCTATGGCCTTCGTAGTGTTTTACCTGTCAACTCAAGATTATAAACCGTTTATGCTTTTTTAGGAAATTAGCCATTATGATTTTTTTTCTGTTGATAAATGAAGCAATTCCCTAATGGACCTGCTAAAATTCAAGTTGCGGAAGAGAAGTCACGGTAGGGCGCCCAGGGCGCCTGATGTCCTAGTCTCTTAAAGACGAATTTTGCACCAGACTCGCACCATATTTGGCCACGCGCTCGCACCATATTCGGCCACGTCGCCCGCTGGCCGTTGGATCCGACGAGCAAGCAATGTAGTCCGTCGTCCTCCGTCCGATGCGGTAGCGATTCAGGTCTTTGCCCGCTTCTCACATCCGATGGCTCGCGAAGTTTCTTGGGCCCTTGGCCCGTCGTGCTCCCTGGGAGAGCGGGCGGCAGCGAGGGCACGGCGACCGGCGAGGAGACGCGGTCGCCCAGCGTGGCACAGGCGCCGCCGCCAAGCACCCCGTGCTCTCTAGACGCGAGCGCAGCGGCGGTGGCGGAAGCTCCTCTGTGTGAGGCGAAGAGCGAGGCCACTACCGAGTCACAGCAAGAGAGACAAAAGAGCACGAAGTGCTCGTCGTCACCTTCGCCGGAGATCACGCCCACAGAGAGCTCTGCTCTCCTTCAACAAGGTAAACTCGAGCCAAATCCCTCATATACGGCTTATATCTAGCTCCTTCAACTGGTTGCGCATCCCGTTTGAATGCTTCTTGATGTGGATCTGTAGCGGTTTGGTCCTTCCTTCTATGTGTTTGCTTGTGAGGACAAGAAATGAATAGTACAAGCTAATAAGAACTTGCACATTGGTACTGATCCATGCAGAAACTTGTGAAAATCATAGGAAAATAACAATAGATTCAAATACTATGAAATTAATTTTCTTAGATTCATAACATAATCCTCTACCTTTTTAAAATATGTTTGCATATGTTACTCGAACCAGAAAATTATTTATTTATTGTAATGTGCAGAACTTGAATAAATGCGAAAAAAATTCCCAGAGGGCTGTACAAAATTTGAACACCAATTTAGCTTGAGAAATCCATATGCACATGTCTTCTTTATTTATTCTAATGCGCAGAACTTGAATAAATACAAAATAAATTCCCGAGGGCTCAACAAATTTCAACACCAATTTTGTTGGATCAGTTGTGATATGCCCTTAGCTTGAGAAATCCATATGCACATGTACCTTTACATTATAATGAATTATGCCCTTTAGTTAACTTACTTTGGCAAAAATTATTAGCTCTCTGTCACAACGATAGTAGTAGGCAGAATAATATGATCTTGTGGTGAAAACATTATTTTTTTCATTACAACCACACTTATGTCCTGTTGAGTGGTTTGACAAAGGACCATACTCTAATCTATAGCTCATTTGTTTATCAAAGTGGATTGGTTTAGCAAGTGTAGAAATAGAACCTAGGTAACAGGATTAACTTGTAGCGTACCTCCTGGAAGTTTGCTTTCCCTATCAGTTGATGCTAACTTGTATTTTCTTCAACTGTAGACTGCATCTAAAAACCGCATGTGAATGATTATTTTTTCCTATGCCATTTTGTATTTCAGGCTATCGTACCAGCCCATCGTCATGACAGGTGAAACAAGGATGATGATGAATCAGATAGTATGAAGGACAAGGACACTGAAGCTCACCTGGACAATGCTTGTCTTTGCACCTACAAAGTCTTGCTGGCAGCCAAGTCTATGACCTGGTACTAGTACCTTCCTGGGCTTATGATATGAGTTGTTTTCAACAATACACATATCACATATTTGATACTTGATAGTTCGTATTTCACATTTATATAGTAGCTGTTTTGTTTTTATTGTCCAAAGTGAGCTCCAACATCACATCAAAATTAAAACAAATTTTCTAGGGTCAAATCATTGTGGTCACCGATATACTCATAATAGTTGCACAAACTCAAATATGAGCGCTACAAGATGAAATTAAATTTAAATGTACAGAGACTGGTCATATTGTTTGATATGCCACATAGAAATAGAGAGATTTTGGTCAATGCAGATCAACCAAAAAAATGAAAGTCCAATTTTTACAATCTAACTATTTTATTCAGTGTTATTTTATTTGTGTGGTCATCTAATTTTAAGCACTTTTGGGCATTAGTGTGCAAATAGAGAGCCATATAAAACGCCTTCATAAAGACTTGAGCCATTTCGCAGAAGATTTAAAGCGTGGTATTCAAATCGATTGTGCATTTTTTTTCTCTCTCAATTGCAGAAGGGAAGATACCTCCAAATAAACTTTCACTCCTTGCTCCAGTTCCGGCGATTAGCATGGATGAAAAAAGGAGGCTTGGCTCACCATAGCAAGCCTTTGATATATTTTACACAGTGGGGTCAAGAGGTTCTTGAAGTCTAAGCAGATTGCAAGCCATGCTTCTTAATTTCGTGATACTTAGCTTTTCTAACTTCACTACCTCTATTCTACGGGCTATTCGCTTGGTCGTAAACGATCGTAAATTTTTAGCAAGAACAGTATTTTTCTCTCATACCAAACCAGCCAGCAGTAATAATCTACGATCGTTTCAGCCCCAGCTGAACAGGCTGCTAATCTTCTTCCCACATCAACAAGGAATACAGGTTGTTTACTCACGAGTTTGTGGAGCACTTCAATATATCGTTGTCGTCCACCAGAATCCTGTAGACGGGCTCAGCGGGTCGATGACATTGAAAATCAAACAGCTTCCCGAAGGATACTTGCTTTTCACCCTGTTCGGCAGGACTGAAAAATAAGCCAAAATACTGTTCCGGCTGATTGTTGTGAGAGAAAAATAATGTTCTGTCTGAAATCACTGTTTACATGAACAGTGATTTCGTGAGTGGGCTGGCCAGCCACCAGCCAGCCGAACAAGGCCTTTGCTTCCTTGCTAAATGCATATTAACTAGTAGCTATACTACCCTATTTGAAATAGGATAATTGGATAACTCGCCATTTCTAATGCCCGTGCAAACATGTGTAATACAGATTTGCTAAGTTGGTTAGTCTTGCGAAATATAGAAGATCATATAGCTATGTTTCATTTCTGAGATCATAACAACACAATAATACCCAAAACAAATGAGCAGACCATCATAGTTTGAAACCTGTACTTATGAACTGGTATAGGCCCTGTTCGCTTGTCTTATAATTCATATTTTTCAGCTTGTTTTTTCAGCTGGAACAGTGTTTTTCTCTCACAATAAATCAGCTGAAATAATATTTTTGCTTTTTTTTTCAGCGAAGCTAACGGAGCCGCGCCTGTGTTTGTAGCGTGCAATCTGATTCTGGGTAGCTTTTCCTTGCCCGTGGGTTGTGCGTGATGACAGATTAGCAGTCATGCGACCAAACACAACAGTGAACGACGTTGTTGGTGACAGGTTGCTTTGCGTGCGCTAGTTTCTGACTTGGACAATGGAATAGTTCTTCCAATAATTGCTGCCACAAAGTAACACCACACCACTACTAGTAGAACCTCGTAGCCTTTCTCATAGAAGAACTGTGTATGTACGTATATGTATATTCACAAAAGCTATGAGCTGATTCCGGAAATTTAATTTGGCAGTGCTGACAGTAAAACAAATCCCCAATTTCTCCGTGCTTAACTGCTTATACAACACTCGTCAATGTCTGAACCTGTCGTGCATATATATATATATATATAAGAGTATATTCAGTAGCCAGCTATAAAATAAATTATTCTGTAGTCATCTCTATTTACGATAATGTTAATATATATTTATGATAGTTGGGTTACTATAACACATGGGAATATTTAGTTGGGTTACTATAACACATCGGGATATTTACCATAACGTTATAGTAAACCACCTATCAGGGAGTTACTATAATCTCGTAAATTAACATAGTAATTATCGTAACTCAAAGTGACTACAGAATAAGTTATTTTGTAGCCAGCTACAGGGTAGTATATATATATATATATATATATATATATATATATATATATATATATATATATATATATATATATATATATATATATATATATATATATAGTATTTCTATATATATGGGAAATTATTTCTTACTTCAGGGAGTAGTTACTCCCATGTCTATATCTTTAGATTTAAAGTGTATATATTCCGACAAAGTGTACGTTGACGAAGTATATAATCATACTAGACCATCTACGATAGTATGTATGTCGTATGCAAGTATACATTATATTTATATGCTATTGGGATTGTCCCCGTCACGGAGATCAGAAAGAACGGGCACCGTACCCACCGGCTCAGCACATCTAATAGTAAGTTTCAGTTTACTCGATCACACCTGCAAATGACGCCCATTTCCCGTCCGTACAAATGAATGGATCGATCCGCGTCTCTGTCTCACCAATCGCGTCTTTCAGTTGCAATTTGCCACTGGAAAAGCGATGCACGGGAAAGTCCGGAAGCCGGACAGCTCGGCCGCTGGATGTCTGCTTCGTCATCAGCATCCAAGCAACTGGTACTGAAACGACTGAATATGACTATGAAGAATATTACGAGCCATGCGAAAAGGAAGGAAAAAGAAAAGGAAAACTCCAGCTGCGGCGGGTAGTCAAACCCCAAGCCTTAACGCGAAAGCAAGAGAAATGTAGCCGAAACAGCGTATGCCTGTCAAACTAGTAGCAGGGAAGAGAATACTCCCACAACAACACCGAGCAGGACTCGAGAGTAGCTACGCGAAACTGGACGGGCTCCTTGACCGACCGGAGGATGGGGATGCGCGGTCTC